GGAACCTGACACAACGGGGCCTGACAAAGCAAAAGCGGGGCTCAAGGGAGCAGCAAGACGAAGGCACCACTGAAACTGCCAGGCAAGTACACGAAAAAGAAAGGAACTGTGCACTGAGGTCCAAGGCCCGAGCGGAAGGCGAGAGCTGAAAAGGAGCCTTGGAAAAAGCTTCATTTTTGACAAAATTCCCCAGATTTCCAGACTTGAGCCATAGACGGGCCCAATACTTTTCATGCAAAGAATTTGCCATTTTGAGCAACGTTTTGCGGCCGGTCCTAAAAATTCGTTCTGAATTTTAGTTTTGTATAACGATGCTTCAGCGGCGGGCCGAGCAAAGACCCTAGACAACCGGAAGTCGCCAAATTGCCAAATGTTTAGATTTCTTTGTCGTCCTGTATAAGGAATTTATCAGCGGCCAGGCCGGGCCATTTTTTTCCGGTGGAGCATAGCCGTCGCCGTTGTATCAAGGCCGGCCAGACCAAAGCCAATGGCCGTTCTTTCAAGGCCGGCCAGCCTCAATGGCCGTTTTATTTGCATTGGGCCGAGCTATTCTTGTCAAGGGCTGGCAAAGCCAGTGGCCGTCCGCTTGATACAGCTACTTGCGTCGCCCTCGATAAAAATGGCCCGGCCTGGCCGCTGATAAACTCCTTACACAGGACCATATGAAATCGGCTATCTGCAGCCTAAGTCTAAGAAATCTTGCAATTTGGCCGCTTCTGGTTGATAAAAGCAATTGGCCTGGTCCTTATTCTTGATAAAACGGCCATTGAGGCTGGCCGGCCTTGATAAAACGGCCATCGGCTTTGATAAAATTGGCCGGCCTTGATAAAATGGCCATCCGCGTTGCTAGCCCTTGATACAAATGGCTCGGCCTGGCCGCTGATAAACTCCTTATACGGGACAATATGAAATCGGCCATCCGCAGCCCGAATATGGAGGTTTGGCCGGTTCTGGTTGATAAAACGGCATTTGCGGCCATCCTCACATTGAGTAAGAGCAAATTGTTGATAAAACGGCAATTGAGGGCCTTGATAAAACGGCCATCGGCTTTGATACAACGGCCACTGCGGCTTGCCGGCCTTGATAAAGTTGCAATTTGCTTTGCCAGCCCTTGATTAAAAAATGGCTCGGCCTGGCCGCTGATAAACTCCTTATACGGGACAATATGAAATGGCTATTTTGCAAATTGGCCGCTTCCGGTCCATGGCTGATAAATTGGCCGTTGTTGACAAACGCCCATTGGGGCTGGCCGGCCTTGATAAAACGGTTACTTGGCTTCGCTGGCCCCAGGACCATATGAAATCGGTCCATCTGTAGCCTTCCGGTTCAAAGTCTTGGAGTAGCCAGATCTTTAAAACTGGAGCACGGACGGATGGCAATTTTATCAAAGCTCACCCTATCTTATCAAGGCCAATTGCTTTTTGAAGCAGTTTCTGAAAGGGCTAAGAGTCAAGGCGAGCCGTTTTATCAAGGCTTTATCAAAAAGCTCACCAATGCCCTGGTAGAAGGCTTCCTAGCAATCTTAAGCTGGTGGGTTTGGCAATCCGCAGTAAGACACACCCTAAACTGACGACCCAAGACTCTGAAGTCGCTCCTTTCAAGGCCTTGATAAAGCGGGTTGCAGGAGGCTCACACATATGCGAAGAAATGAGTTTACTAGATAAGGAAGTCTTAGGCAGCTTTACAAGGTTTCTAAGGCTTGACAATTTTTTAGGTTCAGCTGAAGCGCTTCGCAGGCTTCAAATGGCCAAGCCACTGACCATTGTTTTAAGCCGGCCAAAGCGATGGCCAGTTTATTAAAGCCAATGGCCGTTTTATCAAGGCCAACCAAGCCCGATGGCCACTTTATCAAGGCCGGCAAGCACCAATGACCGTTTTATCAAGCGGGCAAGGCTTTTCTCGTGTTTCCAGTTTAGGGTATATAACATAAGGTTTCTTGAGGATGCCCATAAGGCAGTGCTTGGGTTCCAGCTAGAAGCCTCCAAGCTAAAGACTTGTCGGCCGCCATCGGCCGTAAAAGGATGAAATGCAGACGCGCCCTATTCATGGGCGCGTTAGAGTTTAGGGTTTAGGGTTTAGGGGCGGGC